AAATATCATTTATTTACTTCCGTTAATAATGAGTGGAGATGGTGGCTATCTTTTATGCAGGTGAACCAATTGCAAGTGGTGATTTAGTATATCAAATTTCATATGTTGGGATAGAAGGACCACCTGCTACATTTCTCCATGATCTCTGTGAGGAAGTACCCTGTCCTGTTACTGCTGGCAACTTTGTGCTCACTCACACCGAATTGTTGCCTCCAGTTACCCCACCGGTTAGTCTCACTTTACCAAATATATATATAACATTGGTCATTTACTTGATCAGCTTATAACCATATACTCTAATTGTTCGACTAAGTTATTAGATGCTACTACTAATTACTCCTAGCAAGTCTTAATGACTTATTTTTGTATCTTCCTAGATGCAACTGAAGCTGTTTTGTCTCTTTTCTTTATATTGGCTTCTTCATGTGGGACTTTAGGCTTTTTCTTTTCTTTTCTTGATAACCGCATGTTATGCCTTTCCTGCATTCTCAGCGTGTTCTTAATTTGGTCTTGTCTTCAACAAATTAAATTTCTGATTTACAACATTTCTGTTTTGCTTCAACATTTAACTTATTGGGTTCATTGCCTAGTCTCCATTTTGATTCTGGTACTTTTGCAGGGCACCTATAATGTGAAGCTGAACTTTAAGGATCATAACGACAAGCAGTTAACCTGCATTATCTTTCCCTTCAAAATTGGCGCCAAATCTTCAGTGTCTGCTATCTAACTGTCTAGCACAAAACTGATCTTAGATGCTACTTTAGCTTTCGTATATGTTGCTTAGTGTTTAAATCTTATATGAGCTAGTGAAATGCCACGTTGCGGCCTATGACTGAAATCTTTTTTTACCTAAATAAATTGCCCCAGGATATGTGTTTTGTCATGTCTCTTTTGTTCTGATATCTTCAATAATCTTGGACTTTTTAAGGCGCTTATATGATATCTTGTATCACTTACTGTTAATTTGGGTAAAAAAAAAAAAAGAAACATAATCAATGAGAAAGTGTACCGCCGCTGTACAATACTTCCAATTTAGGATGATTACTTGCTTTTTAACCGTTTAACTCTGAAAGGTAACTCTCCGAACTGAGTTTTTAAGGGTGTGTTTGGTGGGAGGATTTTGATGAGATAGATAGGCAAATTAGAAGTGGGATTGTAAGCTCACCATGTTTGGTTTTAACGGTTTTCTTGTTTGCCTAGCTAAATCATAATGCCAGCAACCTATGTTTGCATGTCATTTGGAACGAAATAGCCGGCCAACATAAACCCACTTGACATGTGGTATTGTGCCTTATCTACCTAAATGGATGATTGTCTACCTATGTAGCACCGATACTGACACGGGACACGTGACACGATACGACACGACACTCCGACACGTTAATTCTAAAAAATGTTAGATTTCAACACGTTAGGACACGTTTTGATATTAAATAATATTTTTAATTTATGTAGTATGTATTATATTTAATATTCAATAATTTAACAAAAAAATGAATCTAAATTTATAATATTCATAAATTTTGCAAAGAAACACAAGATATATCAAATATTTATATTAAACTCAATAAAATGGTAATAGTAATCTAACGAATCTAATAGTTGGAACTCAAAACTCAACGCAAAATAACCTTTGAACTTTTTTTTAAATCTCTATAACGCGTGTTGGAGTGTCGGAGTGTCCGAGAGTGTCGGGAAGTGTCGAACACGACACATCAAGGTTTTTGAAGTGTCAGTGCTTCATAGTTGTCTACTAACCAGATGACCAGCGTACCCCCATGCCTTATTCAAAATATTTTAAAAACGAGGTTATTTTCGTAATAGCAACTTTTTTTTCCATCTATATTTTACCTATACCCAAACATAGACATTATAAAAGTTACATAATTTCTCCGTCAAAATTTTATCCAACTAAACAACTTTTTTTACATTTTCCTATCAAACTCACTTCCCAATCATTTCCCTATGTATAACATTTCCTTTTTATTCATAAAATTTCTCCTCAACCAAACGCGGGTTTGTTATGCATCCGTCGTTAGCTCAATGCACCTGCTGTTCCAATGAAAGGTAACTTTCAGGGCGTGCTCCGAAGATAAGGTGACCGAAAGAAGTTGAATGATATATCTCCAGGTCATAAAAAAGAAAAAGAAATTAAAAGAACAGGGGAGCTAGATTACATATATATTCAGATTTGCCTAATTATTTAAAGATTTTGTTTAAAAGCACAATATAATTTTGATTATAAGATTTTTTTATATATAAAATGAAGGGATTTAAACACGTATAAATGAATGAATTCATTCTGTCCAGTTCTAACTTCTAAGACTTTGTATCTTTTATATTCGAGTAATGAGAATGGCAATTTTGCGAATGGAAAGAATCAGATCCACTAGCAATTCGGATTAAAAATATCTTTACGCATTTACATTTTAATTCTGTAACAGTAAGTCCTCGTAGTTTAATTAAGGGATTTACTAATCTTATGTCACATGAGATAGTATTTTTATGTGGGTGATACAATTATGTGGGGTCCACAATTTAAAAAAAAAGAAAAAAAGAAAAGAAAAAAGCACGAAATTCTATAGATGTATGACATAAAATAGATATCTTATACAACATGAGACTATCATTTCCCTTTAATTAAACTTGCTGGGTGACTACAAGTGAAACCAAGCCACATGAGATAATGGCAACTTTTTTTTTTTTTTTTTCTTTTGGAAAGATAATGAGAACTACTTAATCTAAAGAATCTTGATATTAAGATACTGGTACCAGTAGACATATAATGCCTTGGCAAGTGACAATGGCCTCAAAAAATTAAACAAATATGATTTTGAAAACTAGAAAAGGGGTGGGCACAGCTGTCATTGAGCCCGAATCTTTCTTTTGCCCTTTTGCAGTACAGAAATTATAGAATAAGTTCTTTAATTAAAATTTTGAAAAGTAATATGTCATAAATTAATTATATTAATTTTTTATAAGAATAAATAAAATTCTAAAAAGCTTTTACTTCAATAAAAATAGTATTAAAGGAAATTCTCTTATGAATTATTTTGGGGTTTACTGAAATTTAAGTTTAAAGAAAGCTATTTGACTCATTTAGCGTCAAAATTAGTTTGAATTTTGTGATATAGGATAAGTGAGAATTTTATTCTCGATGGAGGTATTCATCAGGAGGTGTTCATCAACCGATCCAAATCGCGGTAACCGAACCAAAAAATCAAAAACCGAATAAATCGAAAATCGAATAAATTGAAAACCCAAAAATCAAAAACCAATAAAAAATCGCAAATTTTGATTTGATTGGATTGGATCGATTTTTGGATTGGTAGATAAAAACCGATCCAATCCAAATCGATCCAATATATTAATTTCCCTCTACCTACTTAGGTCTTTTCCTAATCATAGCCCAAAAATTTCTAAACTCAAGACATATTAACCCATCAACTAAACTCAAGAAAAAAATCTAGTCACATCTTATCAACAAAATTTATCTATGTAGAGGTTCATATCTCATTTTCCAAAATAAAATAAAATTATATTATCATTTACTGATGCTTTTGTATTAAAAATATAATAAAATTACAAAACGAATATATACAAAAGATGTTATTTACATAATAATCATAAAACAAATTTTACGATTTTCAAAAACCGAAAATCAATCCAATCCAAACCGAAAAAAATTGGATTGGATCGGATTTGAAAAAAAATTCAAACCGAATGAATGATTACATAACCAAACCGAAGGAATTGGATCGGATAATTTTTGCCTCCAAAATCAATCCAGATTGGACCGCGAACACCCCTAGTATTCGTTGTCGCGACATTAATCAACGGAACATAATAGTCTGGTTGGTTTATACCATTTTTCGAAAAATAAAATAAAATAAAATATTTCACATTTGTATTATAAAATACTCATATTTTATACTCATTTACTTCAGATAATATAAAATTACATTATATTAATAACAAATATAATAATTCTAAATTAATAGTAATAAATAATTGATTATTAATACTAATAAATAATTAATTATTAATACAAAATAAAATCAATTCAAATTGATTTCGTATATACTCAAACATTATAATTTAATTACAATATATTTCAAAAAAATTATATGAATTTATTAAGATAAACAATTTCAATAACATTTCATTAATTAATAATTTTTTATGTAAATTAATTATAATCAATCAATAGATTTGTACAATTCAAATTATATAAAGGATCTGAAAATTAATAAAAATTCATAATTAGTATTGATTGAGAGTTATTATTACAGCAATTAATATTACATTGATTAATAATTTAAATTATTTAACTTTTGAAATGGATGAGGTGGAGAATTGAGTATTTTATAATAAAAAATAGGAAAATATTTTTTTTTCATAATTTTTTTAAAGGCTTTAATGCTTCTAAAGTGGGTGTAGATAAGTTATCTCCATTCGCTTCCAAAATGATATCGTTTTGGATTGAAAAATCAAAAAATTATAATAAAAAAGAATATTATAATCTGAAATAAATTATAATTACAAAAATATCTTAATTTTTGTCTCAAAATAACGTGGTTTTGGACTGAACGTTATCTACACCCTCGCAAGAAAAATCGAATCCTTTTCTTTAAAAGGGTATTTCCCGCTAGAAATTAAATCTTTCTAATTTTCTTGCATTTTTTCTCTCACTTTGTACCACCCTCATGAGATCTTCTCAATATTACTCTCAAGGTAAGTGCTTTCTTCTTCTTCACGCCGTCGATTTCTTCAAGCCCTGTTGCATGCACCCAGAAACTGTGTATTTATGAGTATGGTTTTCACTGAGATTTTTGAGGTATGGTCTTCTGATTAGGAGGGTATTAGGGGGTATTCTTAAATCGTACCGACCCAAGTGTTTCATTCGTTGATTTTGACAACGTTATTGATCAAGGTTGAAGCTTTGATTCATTTGTAGAAAATCAGGGTTGGGTTATTCTGGTTTTGGGTTTGTTCTAGATATGATAAAACCATTCGGTAAAATACCGCGCAAGCCCTCAGAATCATTCTATAATGATTCGAACGGTGATGGAGGGTTCAATGGTGGTTTGTCACTGAAACCATCTTATGGGCTAAATTCCAATACCCCCTTGAAACTCAATTCAGTTTCTTCAAAATTTTCAAATTCTGGTTCAGGTGGGTCTCGTTCTGGGAATGGGACTATTGCACAATACTCAACTAATCAAGCTAAGAAATCAGCTCCTTCAATTGTGATCCCAGCGGGTTCAGTGATGGCTCCTGCAGTTTATGGGGCTTTGCCAAGTTTCAGGGCTGTCCCTAGCTCAGAAAAGCAGAGTCTTTTTATTAGAAAGTTAAATATGTGTTGTGTTGTGTTTGATTTTAATAATCCTTCCAAGCATCTCAAAGAAAAGGACATCAAGCGGAAAACTTTATTTGAGCTTGTTGATTATGTTTTGTCTGTAAATTCAAAGTTCAATGAGGTAGCAATGCGGGAGATGACGAAGATGGTGGCAACCAATTTATTTCGTGCTTTACCGTATTCCAATCATGATGGTAAGCTCACAGAAATTTGTGAGCCTGAAGAAGAGGAACCTGTTATGGAACCGGCATGGCCTCATCTGCTGATTGTGTATGAATTTCTCTGCAGATTTGTGTCTTCACCTGAGACAGATGCTAAGCTTGCTAAAAGATACATTGATCATTCATTTGTGTTGAGGCTGCTTGACCTTTTTGACTCGGAGGATCAAAGAGAGAGGGATTACCTGAAGATTATTCTCCACCGTATATATGGGAAGTTCATGGTGCATCGGCCATTCATTAGAAATGCTATCAGCAATATCTTTTACAGGTTTATATTTGAGACAGAGAAACACAGTGGGATTGCAGAGTTGTTAGAGATATTTGGTAGCATAATTAATGGATTTGCTTTGCCTTTGAAGGAAGAGCATAGGTTGTTCCTTGTCCGAGTACTGATCCCCCTTCACAAGCCCAAGTGTGTCTCTATTTATCATCAGCAACTTTCTTATTGCATTACTCAGTTTGTCGAGAAAGATGTCAAGCTAGCTGATAATGTGGTTAGAGGGCTTTTGAAATATTGGCCCACAACTAACAGTGCAAAGGAGGTAATGTTCCTTGGTGAGTTGGAGGAAGTTTTAGAGGCAACTCAAGCAGCAGAATGTCAGCAATGTGTTATCCCATTATTTCGTCAAATTGGTAGATGCCTCAACAGTTTACACTTTCAGGTCCTTATGAAATTCCTCCATATTTTTTTCTTTTATGATGTCTGCATACATTTTGTTAGCATTTGCCAACACCAGCGATCAGTCATTTCTGTATCTCTATTTCTGTCTTTTATTCCTTTACATTTCTCACTTTTCTTCTCTTACCTATCTCGGAATGTTATCATGCTCTAATGTTTGAAAACTAGGTGGTTTGATGGCTGATTGAATGTACTAGGGTAAGAAGAATGGCTCAGAAACAACAAGATAATTTTAAGCACCGTGTAAGTGATATGCTATTTAGAGTTCTAAGGTGAGAAAACAACAAGCAATAGAATATAGATGGAAAACAGGTCAAAGAGACAGGAGGCTGGAGAATAGAGATAGAGAAACTGTGGATCTGTTATTGAGAAATGGTAGAACAAGGAGAAAGCTCCTTCACAATTTGTGTTCTCTGGAATCAAAACTCAAAAAATTCAAAGAAGCAATGGAGATATCTTAAGTGGAACTGTGGAAGCACGTATTCAAATTAAAATTAAACTGGATTTAGTGAATGTGATTTGATGTTGACTTGGGTCTTTTGGCAGGTAGCTGAACGAGCACTGTTTCTGTGGAACAATGATCATATTCGAAATATGATCTTACAAAACTGCAAAGTGATACTGCCGATAATCTTCCCTGCTTTGGAGAAAAATATACGGGGCCATTGGAACCAAGCTGTTCATAGTTTGACCCTGAGTGTGAGAAAAATATTCTTCGATGCTGATCAGGCACTTTTTGATGCATGCTTGATGAGATTCCAAGATGATGAAATCAAGGATAGGGAGAAGCTGGAGAAGCGAGAAACCACATGGAAACAATTGGAGGATGTTGCAGCATCTAAGGCTGTTAGCAACGAGGCTGTCCTTGTCTCGAGGTTTGTGGCATCTGTTTCCATTGCTACCAGTGCAAGTCAACCGGCTACTACAGTTAGTTGAGAGCCATCAGAGAACTAAATTATAAGTTCTGGTCTCCATGCAGAGGGGCCTTGGCATGTCGACATCCAAAGCTCCAAATGAACATGTTTGCCATCCTATTCAGAAAGAAATGTTTCTACTGGTACTCATTTGTATTTTTTATATATGTATGTCGATAAAAGACTTACAAAAATAACTTGCTTCTACTCACTTTAAAGTATGATGAACTTCCCGAGCAGTGTTGAATACCCTGGATTAGTGCCTATTTGTACTTCTACGATCCCCGTTGGGGTGATAATTCGATTAAGTTATACAAAATCCAGCATTGCGCTATCGATTTCAAATATTTTACCACGTAACGTCATGTATATTGGCATTTAATCGAGTCTAGACCATGTAAATTGGGTCTAGATGAACTCATCGGCAAGTCAATCTTGCCTACAAGAGAAAGACAGCAGCAATTAGGATTAACATTTCTTTTAAATAATGGAAAATCATCACAAGTATTCCCCAAATACATTGGTAGTATATTTAGAACTACAAAACCATAAAACACACATCTATTACAAAGATATCACATGCTATTTCATGTGACCGTCAAGCATAATCATCATCAACAATCATCACCATATGCTCGGAAACTATAACGTTCTTGATATGGACCATTGAACCAGAGGTCAGCTTCAAACCACTTGGGGTACCGGACCAAGTCTCCAGCCACAAATTGCATGAAACGCTTGCTCCCTTGAGGCACAACTCTCACTTCCCCTTCTTCTATATATACCAATTGGTCTACCTGCCAGTCCCAGGGCAACTTGCTTTTTCCAGTCTTCCACACTGACCATGTTGAAACTCCAAGCTGAGCTAGTCTTTCAGGAGACAATTTTCTTTCCACCTTCACATTGTACAATTCCTCCAAGGATGTCCTCATTGCTTTTATGCCACACCCTCTTATAGAAGGTTTACCCAACTTTCTGAAATCCCTGGTACCACTGTTGACAGGAGAATAGGTGAAGGTTGATGTTGTGAACAAGCTTGCCATGCCTGTTAACAGTTTAGACTCAATGTGCTTCACTTGCTAAATAGCTCAAATCTGCAAGAAGATTAAAAGAAATTCAAAGACATCCAATGTTAATGATGTGCATTGAATAGAAGTTCCAAAAGGAACTTGCCTCTTCAATTCCCATCCTGTTAATTTTTAACAGCTGTGTTTGTTTTCATCCTAAATGGCTAGAAAAGAAAACAATTATCCACCTTTTTTTTTTTCTAGATATTTTGAGAAGCCAATAACACAGACAATCATTAGGAAAGAGATGACCCGAGTGAAGGAGGGGGTTTAGGAAAGGGTGAGTGTAACCCTAAACAATGGAATGGACCATAAAAATAAAAATAAAACAGAAAATCATCAATCTTTCACTCTTTCAGTTGTTCTTAATACCTAGTTGTCATCCAACCAGAAAAGGAGGAATCATACACAAGAAATCTTGAAACTCCAAAGCACACTAATCAAACACTAGTTATCTAATTAGGGTTTGTTCAAGGACCAATTCGTGAATGCGGCATAAGTGACTCTCGTATTTGACTTGAAAAGGTCCGAAACTCTGAGTTGACATGAACACCCACTAAGAACAGAACAGAATAAAAAAAAAAAAAAGAAACATGATCACAGTTTGAGACTTTACCTGTTGAAAATAAGTGCAGATTTGAAGATGCGGTGAGAGTTTGGCTTCCTTCCTACTGTTAAACGATAAACCCTCTATGGGAAGTGAGGTTTATCCCAAAAAGTAGAAATCTTTATATATATTACACTAGGGGGCGTTTGGTACTTTTTATCAGGATTTTCGCAATTTTTTTTAAATTTTTAATTTTTGAATATTGTCTTAATCGGAATACTTTTATCATATTTTTAAAATCGAAATTTTTGGATAATTTTTTTTTTCTTCTACCAAAGGTATCTTAGGAGTAAAGTATTTCTCGTAAGATGTAAAATTATGTCATTTTAAAAGGGGAAGGAGATAGATAAAGAAAGAGAGAATTGACAAAAACAAATAAATAAAGGTGTGAGCCATATCTCTTTGTGAGAATGAAAGGATATAAATTGTGTCATTTTAAAAAAGATAAACACTTTTCCTATTATAATATAGGGTTTTATAAGAGTTATGTTGTAGGAAAAATGATTGTGTAATGTTATAGAGATTCGTTTTGCGTACTAATAGTTTTTTTATTTAATTTTTCTTTAAAACATGTAGGTCCCACAAAATGTTGTGCGAGAGTTTGTGTACAAACCCTATAATATATGTGTCTCTGTCTTTCACTGTTTTACCCCTTTCTTACCGCACCCCACACTTTACAGTTTAAACCCAGTTTACTTTCTCTCTCTTCTTGCTCTCTCTCTCTTTTTTTTAAGGAAAGAAATTGTAGCGGAGGAAACGACAAAGACCGTTTTGGTGGTTGAACGTGTTCGCTTGTGGTACGCAAATTTGTTGCCTTTTCAATGATAATTGATAAACGAAACAGAGAGGAAAAGCAGGGACACAGTGAAAAAAAAAAGTTGCTTTACTTCGATTGCTCTTTTGTTTCTCTTTTATTTTTCGAGTTTCTTTTGTTATGTTATTGCTTCAGCTTCGACCCATTAATGGAATATCTCAGCTCGCTGTGGGAACTCCATTCCCACAGAAGAAATGTGGCAGAAGAACCCTCCTTTTGAGACCACAAGCTGTTCCCTCCAGAACCCAGGTACCAATTCTTCAATTGCTGATATATGTTATGCCACGTTACATTTTCTATGTAAGAAGTCCAAACAAAGATCGGTAGGGGTGGCAATTTGAGTTGATCGAACCGCCCCGCCATTAAATATGGGCTGGAAAAATAAACTCACTCTGTTTTTTGTTTTTAAATATGAGTCAACCCACCAACTCGCCAATTAAAAAAAGAAATTAATTAAAATTCATAAAATATAATAATATTTTATGAATTTTTCTAATATTATTTTATTTTATTTCACACTTCTCTTAATTTTTTCGGTCTCAATCTTAACTGTATACTAATATTTGTCAAACATTATTTAGGAATTCATTTGTCTCCATATATAGATAACATTTGTCATAAATAAAATTGTTATTATTTTTTTTTTTATAGGAAGTACTACGATAAAATTTTTTTGGATATCACACAAATTTAATGACAAATGAAATACTACCTAATTGTAAAAAAATAAAAAAATTATAACCCAGTTAGTCAACCCGCCCCGCGACGGGTTGAACTCGTTTTGACCCACTTCTAAGCGGGGTGGGTTGAAGTGGGTGGTGAGTTGAAAACCTCAATTCAACCCGCCCCGTATTGGCGAGTTAGAGGGTTGACCCCTCGGACTCAACCCATATCGCCACCTTTAAAGATTGGCGTAATAATATATATATTTTTTTTATAGAGGATAATGGAGAGTGTTTCACTGAGTGGAGAAGTTGGTGGTGCTGGTGGAGCATACTCATATCAAGCCTTGAAAAGATTAGACCAGCTATGGTCAAGCATATGCTTGGCACAAGAAGGTTCATGTCATCCAATGATTCTTATGTACTCAATATGAAATGAGACAATCTTATATTTCTAGTACTCTTTTGTGTGTTTGTGTGTGTAATGCAGTTGTTCAAGAACCTCAGCAAGTTGTCTCCACCATTCCAAGCTTGTTTCGTTCATCTGATCTTGCTGACAAAGCAGAAGGCTCATATGATGTGTTAGTCTGTGGAGGCACTCTGGGAATCTTCATTGCCACAGCCTTGTGTGCCAGAGGTCTTCGAGTTGCCATTGTGGAAAGGAATGTACTAAAAGGGGTAATTTTTAGCTGCTTTGAGACACCAAATAGAAAAGAGTCAATAAATTCTTTGAAGGATATCAATCCACACCTTTTCCTCTAAATTGTGTCCCTCACTTTGGAGGAGTCAAATCCAAAATAATTTGAATTGTCTATGTTGTTTTGATCATTAGAGAGAGCAGGAATGGAATATATCAAGAAAGGAGCTTTTGGAACTTGTTGAAGTTGGAATCCTGGAAGAAGATGATATTGAAAGAGTCACAGCAGTAAAATTCAATCCTGTAATTTCTGAACTTCTTCAGTTTTATTGCCAATCTCTATGTAGGAAGAATCATCTCTATTAGGTATTACTCCGTAACTAATATCTTGAAGTCCCCAAACAAAAAGTAAATTTTTCCAAACCCTGGTTGAATATTTTTTTGTTCCTCAGAAAACAAAAAGCTATGTCACAAATGGCATAACTATGTCTCAAATATTTCCTTCAGGCGAAGTTTTCTTTTTGCAACCTCTTCATGATTTATGCTACCTATTTTTTTCTTTTTAAATTTCTTTCCAACTAACATCGTTTTGGCAATTTCATGAACTATGCAGAATAGATGTGGATTTCAAAGGAAAGGGGATATCTGGGTCAACGACATTCTTAATCTTGGTGTTTCGTCAGTCTTCTTCCCATAAACTAATTCGATATGACAGTAAAGAACTAGAATAGTTGTTGTCTTCTATTTCAGTTATGAATGAATACTTTTATCTATGTTCTTATCTCAGTAATAATTTTCTTTTCTCTTCTGTCTGGCTATCAGTGAATAACATGCAGTTGCAGTTTTTTTTTAGTGTATATTTGGATGATTTAATTTTGGAGAAAAATCACTTTGTTTTTTTTTTTCTTTTTTCAAAAGCTCCAAGTATGACTTTGTTTATAAACTTTTTTAAATGCAAACTAAGCTAATCCAAAGACACACTTAATAGGTGTATTTTGCATGTCCCCTTCAAGAGAGGACAGAAATTTTGCTGTAGCAGTCATTACTCTGGTGTCTGGATGTAGAATTATTAAGAAATGTGCAAGCAGATGCAAAGAAAAGCCTGAAATTTTTTGATGAATGCTTCTAAAAGTTTGCTATTATTGAAGTTGAAATCCTTATTAAGCCAGCGGCTTTATTATATTTTACTAGTATTACACAAAAGCGATTTTGAATGTCTATCTGGGGTTAACTCTCAGAAACAAGCATTTCATTTTTACTAAATGCTTGCAGATTACAATGAAGTAATTTGAGTATAAAATTCAGTATTCTGTTGAAGATCCAGATCTTGCCTCTGCAAATCATAGTCATTTATCTGCCATTGCAGACCTGTAAAGCTTATAGAGATTGTAAAGGAACGTTTTATCTCCCTTGGTGGAGTCATTTTTGAGGGTTGCAGCGTCTCTTGCATTAATGTATATGAGGATGCAGCAGTGAGTTTGCCTTAACTTGTAAACTAGTTATTCTACAGCAATCTTAAGTGTTAAATATTTTATGAAATCCTATTATTGATGAATTACCATGTTGTAAATATTGGTTATTTAATTATTATTATTTGTTGTATTGGGCCAAGCCATTTAGGTCAAGTATTAGGTTTTTCATTCTCTATAAATAGAGACCTCTTTGTACAGATTATTTACACAATTCAATAATATTTCAAATACCCTTTTCTTTCCAGTTGGTATCAGAGCTCTCGATCTGTGAGGGCTCTGCTTCCGCGCCTAAGAAACCTTTTATTTTATTTTTCGTCTCTCGCTGCCATCAGCCGCCACCGGAATTTTTTTTTCCGGAGACCTCTTGGACCCAGAAGCCACTGTTCCGTTTTTTATATCTCGTTTCTCCACTGTTCTTTTTAAAAAAAAAAAGAAATTTTTTTGTGTGTGTCGCGGAAGTGTCAGACTCCAATTGCGAATGGAGGCAAAACGTCCTGCCCCCTGTGAAACTCAGATGAATGCCAATCCTGTGAGCATCTTCTTCGAACCTCGACTTTGAGTTCTTTTTATCAGCCAATCCTTTTTTTTTTTTTTTTTTTGCTTCTGTGCTATTCAGTTAGCCCCCTCGTCCTATAGTTTTCTTGCTAAAGATCTGGCAGAAAGGTTTAACCAAGGAAGTCTAAACAGGTAATAAGGTTTAAAGAGCTCACTCGTTAGAAGTGAGGAGCTCACTATTTGAAGATCTTGCAAAATTCCCTTACTTTCCTTTCCCCTGCCACTACTAGGCTTATCGACACACACAAAGTTCAGTTAGAGCCTTTAAAAAAAAAAAAAAAACACACACACACACACCTGTTCATCGTCTTTTTGGACCTGTTTCCAGTAGATTTTTCAACTCGACCAACCACAGTATGGCCTCTTCTCAAAGGAGTTCCTTTACAAAGTTTTATGATGGTGCATCTTCTAGACCTAAGAGAGATGATCGATGGTGTTCTTATTGTAAAAGAACAGGTCATATCAAGGATTTATGCTTTCGCCTCCATGGAAAGCAAACTGTCTTAGAAAAGATGGCAAGGATGCGTGGTCAAGCACATTTTACTTCCTCTGAAATAACTCCTGCACCTAATGAGACCCAACCTGCATTTCTTCCAGATGAATTGGAACGGCTCCGAACCATCCTTGATTATCTGAGTAAGCCATCTGATACTAGTGCTTTGGCTATGACTCGTATGAGCTCCAAAACTCATTCTTTCCTTTCTTCATGTAATGATTTTAAACATTCTTGGGTTGTTGATTCTGGTGCTATTGATCATATGGCTTGTTGTGCTGACTCCTTTACTTCTTATCATCCTACCATTGGAACTCATACAATAGCCATAGCTGATGGCTCACATACATCAGTTGCGGGTTCTGGTGACATAAACTTACAGCAGTCCTTACATCTTAAAGATGCTCTTCATGTTCCTAAACTCTCCACGAATCTTCTTTCTATTCATAAAATTACAAAAGATTTGAATTGTACTGTAACCTTCTTCCCTACCCATTGTGTTTTTCAGGATCTCGCCACGGGGAAGACGATTGGTAGTGCTAAGAGCAAGGTGGGCTGTACTATCTGGTGTCACAATCTCCCGCAAATACAGTAACAGATCACATCTTCATGTCTCATGGTCAATCAACTGTTGATTCTTTGATTTGGCTTCATCATAAGCGTTTGGGACATCCTCCTTTTAGTTTACTCAAGTCTTTATTTCCATCATTGTTTTTGTCTAAGTCTGTTGAGTCTTTTCATTGTGATGTTTGTGAGTTTGCTAAGCATCACGGTGTGTCTTTTCCTTCTAGTAGTACTAAGAGTGTTGAACCTTTCGATCTTATTCATTCTGATATTTGGGATCCTTCTAAAGTCCCTCATGCTTCTGGAAATAGATGGTTTGTTTCTTTTATTGATGATTGCACTCGTGTAACTTGGGTTTACTTAATGGGTGAAAAGTTTGAGGTACCACATCTGTTCTTTCAATTTTATAAAATGGTTGAGACCCAATTTGGTAAAAAAATCAAGAGACTAAGAACAGATAATGGTATCGAATATGTTAATCACAGTTTTTCCCAATTTATACGAAATAAGGGTATGATTCATGAACTTACTTGTGTTGACACCCCTCAACAGAATGAGGTTGCTGAAAGAAAAAATCGTCACCTTCTTGAAGTGGCTCGTGCATTAATGTTTCAGACACATGTACCCAAATACTATTGGGGAGATGCTATTCTTACTGAAGCATTCTTGATCAACCGTTTACCCACTCGGGTACTTGACCATGTAAGTCTTATTCACTCTATAACTTCTTTTTTCCCTTCTATTCCAGCTATGAGTCTTCCTCCACGAGTGTTTGGGTGTGTTGCTTTTGTTCATGTTCATCAACATCATCGTAGTAAGTTGGACCCTAGGGCTATTAAATGTGTTTTTCTTGGTTATGTTCCTGATAAGAAGGGCTACAAGTGCTATCACCCTGGTAGTAGGAAATTTTTTGTTCATCAACATCATCGTAGTAAGTTGGACCCTAGGGCTATTAAATGTGTTTTTCTTGGTTATGTTCCTGATAAGAAGGGCTACAAGTGCTATCACCCTGGTAGTAGGAAATTTTTTGTTTCTATGGATGTTACATTTCAGGAATCTGAGTCCTTTTTCCAAGGTCCTAATCTTCAGGGGGAGAATCCTTCAAGCTCATCACCTCCCTTCTTTGAGTCTTCAGTGTCTACTCCTGTACCTGTGTCAGTGTATCCTCCTCTTGTCCCTATTGTTCCTGTTCCTTCTGTGTCTGATCCTTCTGTGATTGATCCTCCTGTGACTGATACATCAAGTTCACCAGAGATACAGAAGATTATGAACACCTAAGTTGGTATATCAAAGAATGAAACAACCCACATTGCCTCAGCAGCAACCTCAATCGTCTGAACCACTGGTAGTGGTAAATCCTGAATCTCATATTTTTGATCTTGATGTTGATACTTCTGATGACTTAACAATTACTACTGATTCTGATGATTTACCCATTGTTCTTAGAAAAGGAAAAAGATCTTGTCCCAAGAAATCTTGTTCCTCCTGTCCCTCTTGTACTCAATACCCTATCTCCCATTTTGTTTCCTCTGCTAATCTTTCTATGCAGCACAAAAGCTTTGTTTCAGCACTAGACTCTATTGCAATCCCAAAATCAGTACATGAAGCCTTGAAAGATGGGAATTGGGCTCAAGCCATGCAAGAGGAGATGAATGCGTTGGAGAAAAATAAAACATGGGAGGTTATGGATAGACCTAATGGAAAGAAAGCAGTAGGGTGCAGATGAGTTTATGCCCTGGAATATAATTCTGATGGAACTCTTGAGAGATACAAAGCTCGATTAGTTGCCAAAGGTTAGACTCAAACCTATGGCATTGATTATGAAGAAACATTTGCTCCAGTTGCAAAGATGAATACGGTGAGAGTCTTGTTGTCCCTTGCTGCCCATTACGATTGGGATATAAATCAATTTGATGTGAGAAATTCTTTCCTCAATGGTGAGTTAGAAGAAGAAGTCTACATGGAAATCCCGCCTGGTTTTGATTCTGTGAAGGGAGAAAATAAAGTTTGTAGATTAAAAAAGTCCTTGTATGGATTGAAGCAGTCACCTCGTGCCTGGTTGGGAAGGTTTACTAAGGTTATGATGACCTTAGGATACAGACAGAGTCAAGGAGATCACACTCTTTTCTTCAAGCATTCCCATAATGGGAAGCTTACTGTGCTCCTTGTATATGTTGATATTATTATCATAGGTGATGATTTTGTGGAGAAACAGATTCTGCAAACACGACTTGCATCTGAGTTTGTAGTCAAAGACCTTGGGAAACTGAGATATTTGCTAGGGATAGAAGTAGCTCATTCAAGGAAAGGAATTTTTATCAGCCAGAGAAAATATGTTCTTGATCTTCTCAAAGAAGCAGGAAAGCTCGGGTGTAAACCCTCTAATACTCCTATTGAGCAGAATCACAAGATAGGCTATGAAGAGGAGAGTCCTCCAGTTGATAAATAACAATATCAACGGCTAGTTGGGAAATTGATATATCTGGCTCATACTACACCAGACCTAGCTTATGTTGTTAGTGTTGTCAGTCAGTTTATGCACGATCCAAAGGAGAAACACATACAGGTAGTAGAGAGAATTCTTCAGTATCTTTAAGCTACTCCTGGTAAAGGATTGTTATTCCGACGTGATGGCAATCTCTCTTTAGAAGTTTACACTGATGCTGATTATGCTGGATCCGTGACTGACCGTCGATCTACCACTGGTTATTGCATGTTTCTCTGTGGTAACTTAGTGACATGGAGAAGTAAGAAACAAGATGTGGTTGCCAGATCAAGTGCAAAAGCTGAATTTCGAGCTATGGCTCAAGGCATTTGTGAGTTACTGTGGCTGAAAATTGTACTTGATGATCTCAAAATAAAATGTGAGGGACCTATGAAGCTTCTATGTGACAATAAGTCCGCTATTTGTATCGCTCATAATCCGGTTCAACATGATCGGACTAAACATATTGAGGTCGACCGCCATTTCATCAAAAAGAAACTTGATAGCGGGTTGATTACCACTCCATACATTCCCACTGGGCGTCAATTGGCTAATCTATTAACAAAGGGACTTCCTCAAGACAGATTTCAAGAACTTACTAGCAAGCTGAGAAAGATAAATATCTATTCCTCAGCTTGAAGGGGAGTGTTGTAAATATTGGTTATTTAATTATTATTATTTGTTGTAGTGGGCCAAGCCCATTAGGTCAAGTATTAGGTTTTTCATTCTCTATAAATAGAGACCTCTTTGTACATATTATTTACACAATTCAATAATATTTCAAATACCCTTTTCTTTCAAGTTACCATAATCTGACAAGACAATTTATTAAATAATCATCTCACTTTAAAAACTCAAGTTGTTAAGTGAAGGCCACTTTAATGGTTTTATATTAGACTTCTCTAATACAAATCTCACACAAAAGCTCATTGGATTTGTGATAAGAACCTTGGAATGCACCACCGTAAAAGCTAGTTCAAGAGGTAGGAGAGCCCAAAGTCCATATAAACCCCACATTAGTCACCCATATAACCAATGTGGGACTCAAGTCCCATACCTTGCAATTAGATCGTAACTGTTAGAGAATAATATAAATTATTAAAAAGGCCCTCACCTAATACCTTAAGGTTTTGGGTTGAAGTGGTTCTTTACATAGTATCAGAGCTTTAGTAACCATAAGGTCACGAGTTCGATCCTCACTGCCTCCCACTTTCTAGTGGAATTAAATAAAAGCACAAAAGGTAAACCAAAAATTGAGCCTGTGCAATATCCACGCTTCAAGCCCAAATGTCTCTTGCTTGAGGGGGTGTGTTAGAGAATAATATAAATTATTAAAAAGGCCTTCACCCAATACCTTAAGGTTTTGGGTTGAAGTGATTCTTTATAGTAACATTCCACCACGCTCCGCAGCTCCGGAGCCTATGCGGGCTGGCTTTGTGCTAGTCTTTTACTAGTTCGGGTGTCACCACGCGCGCCGCTTGATTGAAAGCGGGAAATATAGTGGAAAACTCTGATACCAATTGATATGAACCTTATCCTAAAAGCTGGCTCAAGAGGTAGGAGAACCCAAAGTTTATATAAACTCCACATTAGTCACCTATATAACCATTGTGGGACTCAATCTCATACCTTGCAATTAGATCGTAACATTCCACCATACTCCGCAGCCCCATTGCAGTGTTCGCCCGGGCTAGTACAAGACTAGCGCAAAGCCAGCCCGCGTGGGCACCGGGGCTGCGGAGCGTGGTGGAATAATACAATCTAATTACAAGTTATGAGGGTGACTAATGTGGGATTTATATGGACTTTGGGCTCTCCTACCTCTTGAGCTAGCTTTTGGGATGAGGTTCTCCCAAGGTTCGTATCAGTTTGATGGGGAACAATGCACAGAGCCCATTGGCTCTGATACCATATTAAAAAGCCATTTCACCTAAAAGTTTAAGTTGTTGAGTGAGAGCCACTTTAAGGTTTTATATTAGACTTTTCTGACACAATTATAGGCTCTGCAGCCTATGCAGGTGTTTTATATGTTGTATCTCTCTACATATGTTCAAATTTATGAACACCATTTAACTGGGGGTAAAATAGCAAAAGGGTTACATGAAGAAAATTAGACAGTAGATTGAGGAGGGACAGGGAGTTGTTGGGAGCTCCAGGATGAAGCATGGAAGCATAGAATATACGAACATAGTATTGAAATGGAAATTTTAAAGGACCATTTAATTTATGGGACACGTGATAAAGACACATTAATACATGTATTAATTTTTTTTTTCAGGTCCTGAAACTTTCTGGGGACAAAATTTTGTCATCACGTCTTATAATTGATGCCATGGGGAACTTTTCTCCTGTTGTAAAACAGGTCAGGAATTTATTTTTACTCATTATTGCATTCAAACAGATCTATAATTTTTATCATGTCATCACAGATAGCCATTTATATGTGCTTCTTTGTTTATCTATGCGAGGATGTTCACTTTACATATGAATTGTCTTCAAGTGAGACACCAGAAAGGTCTTCTGTTGTACGTTCCATTATGCATATGTAGGACGCATTGACTTGGATATGTACGTGCACCATCATTTATATGCATGCAAGTGATGCAACATGTGTTGAATAAGTAGCCAACTAAATTCATAAATGATTGCGAGACTGAGAGGATAGGCCAATAATGATCTCTTTCATCCAGAGTTAATGATTGAATCAATACCAACTAGGAAGAGGCCTACAACTCCCTTGAAAAAAATAAAATTTTCGATTCATGAAAGCTCTCTTTATACTAATTTGATTTAACCAAAGATAAATGAGTGTCTACTGAATATTAAAACCTTTTCCCGAAGCTTGTTTCCAGTGTCACGTTCAATGATTTTTACAGATAAGATGTGGGAAGAAGCCTGATGGTGTTTGCCTTGTTGTTGGAACCTGTGCTCGTGGCTTTAAAAATAACTCCACTAGTGATGTCATATTCAGCAGTTCATCAGTAAGGAAAGTTGGAGATTCAAAAGCTCAATATTTTTGGGAGGTAAACTTTTACTGTTAATAGAATAAGGGGTTTATACTTCTTATGTAACATAAGATGAGAATTTTTGCAGCACACACATACTCAGATGAGCCCTATTGGACAAAAGTAAATAAAAAAATTAAAAATATTGGCATGCAAAATGGTGTGAGTGTAGCATGAGAAGGCTCTTATTATATTGCATAAGAAGTATAAACCCCATAGAATAATGGTATAAACTTTCACTGAACTCTTCACAGGCATTTCCGGCAGGCACGGGTCCTTTGGATCGTACTACTTATATGTTCACTTATGTAGAACCTCAGCCAGGATCCCCAAAATTGGAAGAACTATTAGAAGAATACTGGGATTTAATGCCAGAATATCAGGCTAGTTTTCTTTTCTTCATTATGTTCTCTTATATCTCTTAAGAGGGTGAGCCTAGAGCAGTGGCTGCTCTCATGTGACTGAAAGGTCATAAGTTTGAATCTGGAAAATAGTTTTTTTGCAAAATATGTTAGGATAAAGTTGCGTACAAAGATTGCCCTCACTCCACCCTCGCTAGTCGGGGATAATTGGGGAGTTTTTTTTTTTTGACTCTCTGATATCTCTTGATTTTTTCCATTTCAGAGGACATGTTATGCTCCCCTTGTTTGTACTTCCCCATTGTTCTACAGCTCTCTGCTTAACTTGACAATTTGCAATTTTTATGTCACAGGGTGTTTCATTTGAGAATTTAGAGATACTGAGGGTCATTTATGGCATCTTTCCCACATATCGAAATAGGTACTAATATGTATCAGATGATGTACTTACAAATTACTTAAGTTCTACTCTTGTTTTCCAATTACAGTCTCATCTATATATATATATATATGGGAAAAGTATTTTTACAGCCACTTTAGATAAGGTTGTCTACAACTACCCTTTTTTCACTAAGTACGACCGGTCTACAACTACCGCGTGCGGATCCTAGGATACGACACCGGATCCTTGTTTTTTTTTTAAAACGCCGCAGGGCCCACTTTTCTGTGTTAGCTGTAGAGTGTTATCTACGGCAGCTGCAGAAATGATAAGCCCATATATATATATATATATATATATATATATATATATAGAGGCAGGATCCTTTGACACGGGTGTCAAATTTCAAGTTTGACACCTCATCTGAGAGCCGTTAGATCCAAAAAGATCAATGGTGTCACATGCTTACAAATCAGAGTCGTTGATCTTTTTTGATCTAATGGCTCTTAGATGAGGTGTCAAACTTGAAATTTGACACTGGTGTCAAAGGATCTTACCTCATACATATATATATATATATATATATATATATATATATATATTATATAATTTGTTTCCCACTGAAAGTTCTTACTTCTCTTAATATTGAGACATGAAAACAATATAACCAATTGTTTCATTGAATAGGAATATTGAAGATTTCATACCATTAGTTAAAACACATCATTTCTTTAATGTCTTTGGCTTTAATGACGGCAAAAGCACCATTGTAAGAACGTTTGGTAAAAGTTTTGCTCAATCAGTTGATATGTTTTGTCATAGTAATGCAGTCAAACTTGTAGGTGGGTAAGTAAGGGATTAGTCCCGTATGGATTCATTACATGTCCAGTGTCCACGTTAGCTAGTCTCATGCAATCTCGTCAGCTTGGCATACGGCACTGTACTAGTCCCATCAGATGGTCCTGCAGGACGTAGGACTCTCTTTTCCCTTATCCCGACCCGTAAGGATAAAACAAAACTTGGAATGGAGCTAGACTTGAGTTTTGGATCTTGAAAACTTGATTTCAGTGTGTTCTCCCCTATTCAACTGTCCTAATGTCTCTCTCACGTACTGCAACTCTCTGTCTCTCTCTCTCTAGGTATTGCGCCAATAACACACAATTGGAGCACTTTTCTTTTCTTTCTAAGCTATGCACACACACACACACAAATATTCTCTTTGATAATTGGTAATTTTTATTATAAAATACCCATTCTTTACTTTTTCTCGTGGAATCCATTATAGGAAGCCTTAGCTTATTTTAAGTTTGCATTTGTTATTTTAAATACTTAATAAGAAGTTAATTTTAATAATAAAAATTTATAAATTTGTTTTAAATATTCATTTATAATGTTGTGTTCTTCCAGAATAACTACAACAAGTGGAAGGATGGGCAAGAGAAGCATCACAGTTGTAGTAACATAATACTCCCTCTGCGTGAAGGTGGAACATTTTTGTACTATGATTATAACAATGAGAAACCCTACGAGGACTAGTGTTAAATAGAGGAACCTGTAGAAAGCTTTTGAGTCATTTGTCTGTTGAATACCCTTGTAGTTCCTGATAAATGGTAAGAAAACAAAAGCTGTAGCAGTAGGTAGCCATGCCATGAGCAAAACTAGAGACTTGGAGAACAAAGACTTTGTTGTTTTCCCATATATTTCCACCACTTCCCTGATGTGGCACAGAGAGCACCATTTTTCTCAGTTGTAAGTTTCAGCACTTTTATGTTTGTGAGATGAACTGAATACTACTAAAAAGGGAGTCTGATGTTTGTGATTGTCTCTTTATTGTGGAACAAAGAAGGAAAGAGGGTGTTTGACCTTATGTTTCTGGAAGGATAGTGAAGTGGAAAAGAGAGTCCCGTAGGACTATCTGACGGGGACTAGTCCCGTAAGGAATGCTAACGGGACTGCAGTGCCGTATGCCAAGCTGATGGGATTGCACGAGACGAGTTGACATGGACACTGGTCCGTAATGAATCCATACGGGACTAATCCCGTACCTACCACCTTTGAGCTTGACTGTATTACTATGACAAAACATATCAAACATGCTTTGACTGAGCAAAACTTCTACCAAATGTTCTTATCATGGTGCTTTTGCCCTTTAATGATTCAGGGTTCCTGTAAGAATTTGAACCATGTAATGTGCATGGTAGCTTACTGCTGAAGCTATGAAATTATTTTAACCAAGAAATTGTAGTAAGTGGAGCTTTTATCTCCTTATGCCTGTATCATATTGTTTCACTAAGAAATTTTCAGATATTTCTTTGACTAATCTGTCACTTCCTGACGGCTCTAAGTGGAAATAACTATAAACCATCCAACTTGTTATTGATTCAGGACATGCAGTACTGCACATCAGAAAATTATCTTTTAACTTGATATGTTCTCTTTCTCTGCCAAATATCTACAATTTCCTAAGTTTGTTTTAATTTTATTTCATGTCTTCTTAATTATTTCTCTGCCTATCATTTCTTTTATGATATGACACCGTACAATGTTTGATGACATGGAGCATCTACAGCCCACTACCAGCTGCTTTTAGTAGAGTTTTACAGGTAAATTTCGTTTTACAGTTCTGAAGCCTCTATCACATTAAGTCATCTATGATCTATCAAGTAACATTAAAGCAACGAAGCTTTATTCTCTGTAGTTTGGTGATGCTAGTGGCATACAGTCACCCGTTTCATTTGGTGGTTTTGGGAGTTTGACCAGGCACCTTGGGAGACTTTCAGCTGGTATAACTTTCTGTGAAATTACAAACTTCTAGAGTATATTCTTGAACTAGTTGAAAAATATCTACTGCAATGTTGTTGGACAGGATTTACTTGTTTTTTGTGTCTCTGAATGTGAAACTATGAATCTGTTAGTCTCATGTCTTTAGAAACATTAGAACAACCTAATTCGGTAAAATATTGTGGCCGAAATTGTTTTGGGAAGTAACAAATTTACAACTACAAACTGATGAAGGGCAGATAAAATAGCAAGTGTTGAGATAATCTAATTCCCTTTTCACTTTACTATAATGAAGGAATATATGAAGCAATCAATGGTGATTATCTAGACTCATACGACTTGTCTCTGCTGAACCCATACATGGTACTTTTCTGCTTTTCTAGAAGGTTTGACTGTGTCAGAAACTGCCCATGAAACTGAGTACCTGACCAAGATTTTGTATAATGCAGCCCAATTTGAGTGCTTCATGGTTGTTCCAAAGAGCAATGTCAGCAAAGCAACAGTCCATTGTTCCTGAAGATTTTATTAATGAACTTCTTTACGCCAATTTTAATTGTATGCAGGTAGTTTAAGTTTATCTCTCTCATGAGTCATGACCGAGATTATTTTTATTTTCTTTCATAAACTTCTTTTTCATATTTCACTTTTGCAGAGGCTAGGGGATCCAGTGCTACGACCATTTCTACAGGTGAACTTCTTAGACCCTGTTTGGAACTCTGGCTATATTTTTGTGTTTATGAGATGTTCTTCCCAAATGAATCAATTAATTGAGATGAGAACCAATATCAAATTTTAACCCCTTGGAATAATGTCTGTCCTGAGAAACCCTATTATTTATTACAGGATGTTGTACAGTTTGGACCACTTTCCAAGACATTGGGCCTGGTTATGTTAACAAAGCCTCAAATACTCCCATCCATATTCAAACAGGTAATTCAAGAGTTTATAACTTCTCTTTTCTTTTCTTCTCTTCGTATGAAGACTGCAAATATAAATTAATACCTGAAACGTAAAAACATATAATGCAACGTCCACTGTTCCAATATGTTTGTGCTGCTGCATAGCCCATTTCTTTGTTGGAAAAGTGCATGTCCTTCTAAATGACACAAACTTAAGTTCTTTTAAAAGAGAGATAGACACAAAGAGGTAGAACCCATATCTTTATTTATTTTTGTCTTTATTTTTTTCAGTAGAACCCACATCTCTTTGTGTCTATCTTTCTCTTAAAAGGACCTAAGTTTGTGTCCTTTAAAAGGACACACACTTTTCTCTTTCTTTTATCCTCAAATCAGAAGTTTTAGCATTTTTAATACATATGTAGTTACTCCTTGAAAATAGCACTAAGAATGCCATTGACCTACCTCAATATAGCAGATATGATGGACATTGCCCGAACTAAAATAAAATATGCAGTATTGAAGCAGAATTAAATAGTGAAGCAACCTTTTCAATATGGGGTATTTACAATTTTATAATATTTCGTTCCAGGTTGGTGTTCCTGTACTTCTTGACTGGTCTAGACATTTTCTGATGCTTGGGTACTATACCTTTCTATCGACATTTGCTGATCCTATTGTGAGGTAATGGTCTTTATGAACCACTAATTAGTTTCTTTGTCTATTCAACAAACATATAGTTTCAATAAAGAAGCCCTTACATTCAATCTCCTGTACTCTCACATGTTCCATGTATTGCAAGGCCATTTTTGAATACAGTACCATCCAAGACAAGTTTCCAGTGGAAGCGGCATCTCGAGGCTTGGAAATATGGAGCTGGTCTTGATTACAAGCTATAGTAACTACTTTTGCATATGATGCCTACCATTTACAACCTAGAAAATAAGGATGATGACGTGGCATTGTTGGTTGTTAAGCCATATTTCTTCCTTAAAATCCTATTTCAAAAGTGGTGCTTCTCAAGATTTACTCTTCATTACATTCATTCTTGATCTTCCATGTAAACTGGAATTTTTTCTTCACTTTGACTACCTTCCATATGACAAATGAAAATCCTGGAAAATAGACATGGTTTTAAACAAATTTTTTATTGGTCTCAACAGAGTCGATTCCCAAATTGCCTAGGGATGCTTAAGCCCTATTTCAATTTTCATCTAATTTTACCTACGTTATTTAGAATATCAATATCACATTGCCAAATGTCATCTTACTGTAACAAATTATGGTTTTTAAAACATTATAGTATGTTTAGTCTGCTTGAAAGAACAAAGGAATTGTTGAAGTAACCAAAACAATATTCCGCCATTTACTAGAAACATGATTTTTGACATACACTACTTCGTATTGTTTTCACTTTCCCGCAAACTTCTACATTAACAGATACATTAACAGCCAGAGGACACTCCATCCAAATTATCTATGTTCGTTGCCCATGCCACAATTTTTAAAGAAAATAACTAAAAAAGGAAAACAAATAAAATTGTAAATCTCAATCTGATGTTTTTGCACCCCAAATTTTAGGTAGCTCCTTTACGATAGACTTCTGCTTAACATCTTCCCTTTCCAAACGCCACTTTCTTGACATACTCTCAGCCTGCAAACCCAAGTTTTGAGTTATGCCTGTGAATTGAAACATTCAGGAGTACAAAGAAATACAATTTAAAACTTGCCCATATTTTCAAGGGAACAAATTGCTTTTTGATATTCTCAAGTTGTGGCTCAACAAAGTCTTTTCCCTTGGTTTTGAATTCACTGGTCTGTTAAAACAACAAAATTTTCGGATAAAGAAGTCAATAAACTGAAATCGGCAATTTATAAGGCCATATAGAAATCTATTAATAGAACTGCAAAACCATTAAAAAAAATATACAAGTAACGAAATACAAAACCAGAGTATGGCTTATAGTAAGAAGTTTTATGGTCCTAAATTTGAACATGATAAATAGTCAATGAAGAATGATGACTAAAATAGAACAGTTGCAAGGTAGGAATTCAAGTGGGTTACTTAACTAATATTATTTTCTTAAAATAAAATAAAAATACAAACATATTGAGAAAGAGAGAGGAAGAAATTGCATATTAAATAAAGTTCTAGAATCAACATATAAGTATATAACTAAAATAACTTACATCATTCATCTCTAACTTGGAGGCCGCCATAGCAAATACCAATGCACCACCACCAAATACGATTGCAGTGGCAACAGCAAATGCCTTTCCAACTATAAAATTGAAAACAAAAATTTGCATCAGAAAACATGGGCATCATCCCCAAAGCAGTTGCCAGAACCTTTTTCAACTCAACAACATTATTGGCATGATAGGCAGTTAAGCACAACAAAGTCAGAATAAAGTCATGAATCAATATCTAATGAAGTAAATAACCACCTGAACTTGACGCAGAAGCCATTCAAGTAGAAAAGGTGGGGTTATTCCATGGATTCGATATCCCAAAATGGCAAGAAACAATGCATGTGTCTTCATACCTAGAGTGTGTATAAACTGAAGTACACAAAGCTACACGTATCAATAGTGTAACTTCCCTTGTTGAAATTTATACTTTGCGTACTATTAACCCTATTAGCTATGGACACCACATGGTTCTCTATGAGCTCATGAAGCCCACTTTTCTCAGGGTGCTGTTAACAACCCCATAACATCATGCCACACTAAAGTTTTTCATACTTTAATTCATACTTTGTCCAAAATTAGAGAGTAGCATGCCTGTTTTGATTTTAGTATGAACCCTATTACCACACCCACAACCCTAAACTTATCATACCAGAAAAGTAACTTCAGTCCAGATAATATCCCACTACTGTTTTCCCCATTTAAACCACATATATTGTATGCCTTAATTACCTCTCCCTTAACTTACATTTCCAAATATTGATAATTCCATATCACAATCAAAAGTTCCTCTACTGTTACGGGGAATCTATGAAGGTTTAACTTTAGCTTGTGTAATAAACCAGAAAGTCTACGTATTAAAACTTCCCCCACTCAAGTTATTAGTAAATTCTCTACACCCAATAAATTACCTGAACTCCCCCATCACATTCCCCCTTTATACTACCATATCACCTCAAACTGGCTAAACCAAGCAGCTTAGTAGAAAGAACGGATGCTTAATAGATAGCAATTGCAATTTTCACGCATAGTTAAACACAGAGTATCACAATCTATAAAGTATTCATAGGACGCCATAAGTTATGCTGGCCCTCTATACCCTCAGTTTTCCACCAACCTTTAGCTGCTACATATTTCACTATAAATTCCACAGGTATGTGATGTGCAGATTGAGGGTACCAAAGCTAATATATGTAAGTTTGTCAACTAAATTCTGAGTCAACTGTGGACATATTCATCGGTGAATAAAACAAATTCTTTCCATGAAGTTGCATCAGAGATAACATCCACACTTACACCTTTTTTTAAACCACAAAATTATTGAGAATTGCTTATATCATTTACCTTTTTACAATAAGAATGAAAAGCAGAAATGAAAAAAAGAAAGAAAAAGAATCTAGGACACAATGTCTAAATGAGATATGAGCAAGTTAAAGAGAAGAATGAAACGTACCATGTGCAAGACCTTCAGCTGCAGCTTTTAACTTTTCCGGGTTAGCAACGGTTGCATACCTGTCTTGACGCAATTCATTAGCTGTTGAGGCTGAAACCATGTGTGCTGCTTGAGGCAGTTCCCACCTGCAACCAAGCCATTATGTCTTTTCTTTTCTTTTTGGCTAGGCAACGAGAAGGAAAAATTGAACAGAACTCAACACTAAAAACATCAGATAAAAATTGTGGGTTTTTACCAAAAATCAGAATGATCAAGGTTTGGAAATACCCAAAAGGAAAACACCCCCTCCTAAAAGAACAACTACAAACAGCTTCATTTCCCTCTTGATACCCCAATAGAGGGAAAAAAAAAAAAAAAAAACCAGAATTCAAATTCAAATTCAGAACCTTATGCAATTGAAAATTGATTCATTAGTTTGAAATTCGTTGACATGAGGTGTAAAGAAGTGAAAGAAAGAACCTTTTGGGGCCAAAGGTGACCTGGGGAAATGAAAGGTAAGCACGTAGAGGGTTAAGAGCATCGGGAGATACGGAAGATTGAGTTTTGGGATCGGATTGAAGGACCCATTTGGATGCAGAGAAGGATGAGTTGGCTGTGGCTGTGGCGGTGTCGTCTCTGAAAACTTTGGAAGGAAGGGAATGCCTTAGAACCTCAGGAAGCACATCAGCATGAACATGTCCTTGACCTTGTTCGAGGTTGTTGGTCTTTGAAAGGGGAATTTTGTTGGCTAATTTTCCCACTGCTTGTTTGGATTCCTGGAAAAAATAAGCTGCTTCTTTCCCAGCTAACCTTCCCGCGAGAAAACTCATGTTCTCCAAATGCAGTTTGAGCTGACGAATACTTATCGATCTATATATAATTCATCAATCATTCAATAAGATTATATTTATAAAATAAGTCATTATTCAAACTTATTTAAAGATTTATTAGAATATATTTAAGGAAAAGTATACTATCATGTTACATTTAATTGATCTCTCATATTATATTTACATAAAAAATGGTTTTTTTTTTTTTTTTGAAAAAAATTCATCAATATTCTTGTGATTTACTTATTTATTTCAAAATCACTTATATCCTTGTGATTTTTTTTTATCACATATACTTATGTGATTTGTAAAAGAATATATATTTTTTGTCACGTATGCTTCTTGATTTTTTATTTTTTATAAATCTCAGGATACAAAAAATTACAAGGACATAGACAATTCTGAAACAAATCATAGAGATATTGGTGAATTTTTTTTTTTTTTAATTTTTGTGAGTTCCACTTTATTTGACTCACAACATAAAAGAAAAGTAAAGAAAAGGCATACATTTAACGCGAAAAATATTTTTAAATTTCTAGTTATACAAGATTATGTTTACCTCCACTTATTAAATTATGTAAGAATATTACGTAACAGTTGAGAAGAATTAGACTATATAGTTGTATAAGAATGATATAATTATTAATTTTAAATAAATTATAATCATGAACGAAAATTAATAATTGAGATAAGAAATAAATTTTTTTAATTTGTATTGGAATCAACCGATCCTCCCTTATGATATAAATTAGTTTTATTTAAAATTGATTAAATATTCAAGTAAGATTATAATAATCAAAATTAACCATTTTCACATTTCCATATAATATTTACGTCATTTTGATGTGTATTTGTATTTTCTTTTCTCCATTTTTTTCCTTCGTAATTTTATAAAGAGAGAATACAAAAAAATATAAAAAATCTATCAAAATAATGTAATTTCATTAAAAATAACAGAAAGTTGTGTCATTTGAACTAACAAATACTTTAACCACAAAAAAAAAATCATAAATATTTAGGTTATTGAAACAATTTGATTTTTTTTCTTTCTTAATACATAAATCAATTTGATGTTAATTAATGTGAAATATGTGTGAGGAATGTTATGTGTAAATAACATTACCCATATTAAATATTAAATATTTATTAACAAAGCAGATTGTCATAACGATTAACGACAGTGTTTGTGCTAGAGAAATACGTTTACTGTATGGTCTCAATTTTGCACTTGGTCTTGTTGAATTTAAACCAATATCATTAAATTTGAACCTATCATTAATTCCGTTGAAGTATTTATATAAGAACATATAATAAATATAATAATAGTAATAGTAAATTCAATAAAAGATATTGTTTTAGTGACAAAAATAATATTGTTTAAACACTAAGTTAATAATGTATAATATTGTTTTCTCATGTGTTAACGTATATTTTAATATATTCATAAATTTAATAATGGGAAGATTATTCGTGCTTTAAAATGATGTGAGTTATGTCTTTTTAGTATTTTTACTCTGTGCATTCCGATAGTACATAATTATAACATAATTTTTTTTCTCTTCTCAGTCATATCATCTGACATGAAAAGTGAAAAAAATAACTTTTCATATTATAACTATGTACTATCGAGAGTACATTGAGTAAAAATTTAAAAGAACACAATTTACGCCCGTTAGAAGGACTCACACTAAGCTCTTTAATAAAATGTATAAGATTTATCGGCGTAGTTAAATAATTTAAATTAATTGAATATTTTTTCACTTTTATATCATCGTTTTATTCTTTCTTTTTTTAATTTTTTAAAATGTTTATACTTTTAACTGTGAAGTACTAATAAGAGTTAAGAAAACTGTATAACAGAAATTATTTATTATTATTTACAGAAAGATATATCTAATTGACTAATAACGTCTAAAAATTAGGGAGGTAAAATAGAATAATACTGTATATACATTAATATCAAGCAGTACATCACATTTACGTGTGGAAACAAAATTATAATATAAATATATACAAAATATTATGAAGCTAATAATTATCAAACAATAAAAACTATAAATATATAAAATTACGTGTGTGCATACGCGTGAGTAACGTTATCAAGATAAACTACAAAATATGGAACTAATTTCTTGGCAAGCAAGTAACGAGAAGATGACCATTCATCAAAATAAGTACAACTTTGTCCCGTGATCCAAAATATTTCAGCAATTTGTCACTGTTTGACCATTGACCGATGCATATATTCGAGTAGATGACCTTTATATTCGAATATATTTCGTATTTTGGGTTTTTTGAAACATTTACTCAAGTATAGGACCAGATACTCGAGTATTTGCTGTTCAACGCAATATACTCCAGTATATGGGCATGTACTCGAGTAAATATTCAAAAAATTCCATACGCAAATTTTTCAACGCGTAATTCTTGAAAAGTCATGTGGAACAAAAAAAAAACACATAATTCAAATATCCAAGTCAAAAGTTATGGTTTTTTAAAGTTTTACTCTAATATTTTCAAAATTTTATAATGTCAATAGATTTTGTGAGATCCACAAAAATCCTCCTAATGTTACCAGAGTCAAGTCCAATATTATGAGTATATGATTATAGAAACTTTTTTGATCCAAAAAAATCATGGAAAAAAATTTAACCATAAATTTTCAGAAGACCATATTTTTTGGATCAAACAAGTTTCTATATCATAATATTATATTTGACTCAAGTGATCTGAGAAAGAGCTTTATGGATATCACAAAACTTATTTCCGTTACAAAATTTTGAAAATTTTACCGTAAAATTTCATAGGGAATTTGATCCAAAAAATGCTTCTTTGTGTCCCGTTTGCATATTTTACATTTGCGAATGATGTTATTTAAATTTTTACTTTTCAACACTAACAAATAATCCTCGGGAAATTTGCCAATGCGTAACTCTAGAAAAAAGTTATGTGGAATAAAAAAAATACCTGATTCGAACACCCATAGTAAAAAGTTATAGCCTAATTCAGACACTTGATTTTAAAATTTTACCGTTAAATTTTTTTGCACAAGATTTTTTGAATCAAACAAGTTTCTATAGACTTATATTCATAATATTGTGGACTTGACTCGAGTAACTTGAGGGTAGCTTTGCGGGTATCACAAAATCTATTGGAATTACAAAATTTTGAAAATTTTAGAGTAAAACTTTGAAAGGTCATAACTTTTGACTCAGGTGTCCGAATCATGTGTTTTTTTTTATTCCACATAACTTTTCGAGAGCTATGCGTTGAAAATTTTGTGTAGGAGAATTTTTAAACATTTTCTCGAGTACATGCCCTATGAATATAGTGCGTTGAACAACAAATACTCGAGTATCTAAATCTTATACTAGAGTAAATATAAAAAAAAACCAAAAATACAAAATATACTCAAATATAAGGTCATATACTCAAGTATATGGTTCGGACGACAGTTAAATAAAGATAAATTGATAAAATATTTTGGAATAGAGATAAAATAAAACTTATTTTGATAAAAAAAGGACACGATGGTAAAAAAACCAGCATCCTCTTCAATGCACAAAGGACATATTTGTCTCCATTGTCGGTTTTCTGCGCCATGTGTGTCACGCACATTTGGTCCCTCATCCTCCTTGGACAATAAACAGATAAATCGGGACATATACACAATGTAAAGAACCCAATGGAAAAGCAAATAAGTTGGGCTGGGGTATATGCTGTGTACAAGCAGAGTATGCATAAGAGGCCAAGACAACGGATACAATAATTAAAAAGAATCAAAAGTCAAATGGTAAAGATGGAAAATTAATGAAGTCACAAAAGAATGAGTAAAACATTACGGCTATATTTTAAATTAAAATTGTCGACTAGATAAGCAGAGGCTGAGAACACCAAAAAAGATTATCCAATTACTTGGGAAAGAAGTGATGCACATCTCTAAGGCTTGGAGAAAAAGATTCAATTTTTATTTGATGAGGTGTAACAAATAGGATGGTGAGTCTTGATAGATTTTTGTGCAATCTTGCTTGGCCCTTGGGGTTGTATTGAGTCTTACCATAAACCAATTAACTTTTTTTACTACAATATCCCATGACATCTGGTTAAAAAAAATGCTTTTGTTATTATTCTCTTTCCTCCCATTTAATGCTGGTGATAAACAAGTTACAAAGAAATCTTGGCAATTGGACGTTCAACATGTCTCGGGTGTATAAAAACTTTCTCCGAATTGAAGTGTCGTGGACATAAAATTTTTGAACGGAGATGTGCTGGTGGTGTGTAACTTAATTCTATAGCCCGAATTAATCTGTTGCAATCCCAAATTGAACGACAATTATATGAGAATTTCATTAACAAGCCTTGAAGGACCAAGAGTATAAGCTAATTTAGAGTTATATGTTAGAGGTAGAAATATATATGTCTAACGAATTCATTATGATTAGTTTAGTGGTGAGGAATTTGAACACTCTACGTGATATTTTAGCTACAAACATATATATATATATATATATATATATATATATATATATATATATATATGAGGTAAGATCCTTTTACACCAGTGTTAAATTTAAAATTTGACACCTCATCTCAGAGTTATTATATCAAAAAAATCAATGGTGTCACACAGTGGCGGACACACACACTTGCTCGTGTCTGCACTTGCAGACACAAGTTTGAGATTTTTTTTTGAAAGGGTGGGTGATTTAGGTCAAATAAAATAAAATAAAAAGATTTAGGAAGATTGAAAAGAAAAAAATAAACATAGGTCCAACCATAGTAGTATAAATCGGGATCTTACCTAAAATCGGAAGGAGGATAAAAAATCATAAAATGTAAAATCCTAACATAAAAAAAATCGTAAAAAATCATAAAATCGTAAAAGTGCTTGAAATTTTGATGAAATCGTTTTGATTAAAAAAATCTTAAAATCATAAAATCACATATTTAAATATGAATTTTAACTAACATGGACCTAACCCAACCAACCCCCATTATTC